GAGGGTGGGGGGGAGAGGCTGCATCCCCATCTTGAGTTAACCCAGCCGTGTTGCCTATCCCGGTTTGACCCTCTAACAGGGGCAGGAAGAGGCAGTGAGTCCCCGCCATCCCTGAATTACAACGCTGATCGTTCCGTTTTCAGGGGACAGGATTTCCATCGTTTCAATGGAAAACACCGATCTGCAGCCCTGAGCAATCCCATCTAGGATCGCTGTTGGCTTTGCTGTGAGGAGCTTTTAGCTGGGCACTTCCAGCTCGGTTCATTCTGGGGCAGGAAAACGGGGTTTCTGTAAGGAAAAACTGTGGGGGTTTGGGCAAACTTTCTGTCTCCTTTGCTTTTCTCCCCTGCCAAGTCCAGAATATTTTAAACAAAAGGTAAGTTGTCCATTTCTGCTAAATTACTGATCCTTCCTTGAAGATTTCTCTGATCTTTTCCCTCTCCATACACTGTGACAGAGGAAACCATAGGGTCTCTAAGGCCACAGCCATGCTTCTGCATGGGAGATGCTTTCTAAGTTGCAACAACTTTAGTTTCTCCTGCCCTGAGCTGCAGGCACCAGTTTTCCACTTCAAAGCTGTAAAAAAATGCCAAGGAGCTGGTCTTCTGTGCAGGGTAATCAAGCAAGAAAAATTGGGTAGACAGCAACAGAAAGAGTTGTTTCTTTGTAAATTCTCTACAAAACAATTCCTGGAAGTTGCAAAGTATAGAAGAAATGCAGACATCCCTTGACTTTGTTTGAAAGTTAAATTTGGATTTAACAATGCAATATTTTCCATGTTATGTTCTGGGTTTTCAATTGTTACGTATTTTTGATCTGTTTTAAGATGTGAAGACTTGCGTTATGTTGCATACAGACTTGCAAATCATTCCTTCCCTCATTGCATCTCACACAAAATTTGGGCAGAGATATAATGAAACCAATGGAATTCAAGTAATCAAGATTTGACTTGTCCTGAGGCAAACTCTTTGTTGATTTCTTCTCTTACAGCTGCTCAGACTGTTTTGTGGGCACATTTGCTGGACTGAGGACCCCACAGCTGGACTTCAGTCGGACATTGTAGCACTGGGAAT